CTTCATGCGCCGTTGTGGACGTAATGACGTATGGTAGAATGGCCGAAGAAATTGTGGAGAAGAGCGCAGAAATCAAATTGTTGTCGACTAGTCGCCATTGCACGTGAGCAGAGGATGTGGAATCGGGCGGAGGGAGCGTTTTGCCCGTGAGATGATCAGCATAACCATTCGCAGAAAGATGTTGAAATATCTGCGTACGCCAGATAGCGTAATTATCCGCCGTGAGGGTATTCGAAATCAAGTTCTTGATATTTGAGATGATGAACTTGAGAGTCGTCGGAAGAACAAGTTCTGTTGTTGATCCGGCAGTAGTGGAAGAAGTGGGAGGGAGAGTGGAGGAAGACTCCTGATCGCCCATTACTGGCTATCTGATACCATGAAGGAGAATCTTGATCTTGAGAGAACCGACGGAGAAGGAAGAAGACGGAGCACAGGGAGAACGTAAGAAGAGGGAAAACTATATTCAAATGTAATAATGAGTTTATAGTATTTATAGAACTAAATTACATGGTGTGTGAAATGAGCTCAAGTACAGGATAATAAATGTGTTCTCATTCTAATAGCTGGAACGTCAAATGAAACTGAAGTCAGGAAACAGGGGAAGAAGAACCAAAGCTCCGATGCACGAAGTAAGCTTCTGACTCCACGACCAACCTCATTTCCTCCTCCTCCTCCTCGCCATCGTTAAAGAGATGAATGATATGGTGAGTCTCTCGATTCACCTTCAAATATGAGAGAAAGTGGGAATGGTGTGAACTATCTACTTGTCTAGACGAGGTTATTAGGCAGTGGCAGAATGCCCTAACCTATTCTCTTTCTCTTTTTATATGGGAGAGATTTATCCCTTCTTTTCAAGCTTCACAAGTCTCCCAACCCTCAACAATGGTCATGTTGGTTTAGAAACTCAACAAAATAAGTTGGATGTTCATCAAAATCAGCATCAAGGTTCACAATTCGGGTTTGTAGTGCAGCAGTAGCTACAACCCCAGAATTTGCCATCATTGCCTCATTTAGTTAACCAACATTCAAATCTTTCAGGCATATTATCTCTTGAACAGTTGTGTTCTACATATATAACACCAGCAATGATGGTAAGTCTCTCGTACTGATTGGAGATGCCCTCGAGCTCGTCTAGGCAAAAGATTGCATGGTGGGTGAGTCTCTCGTAGTGACTGGGGATGCCCTCGTGCTCGTCCAGGCGAGATTGAACGGCGGGAGAAGGGATTTTTTACGGAGGTTATAACGAAGTGTTAGAATAGATGAAAATGTGAGTTTTAGGTGATGTATCAGTAAATACATAACTTTAGGTGTTGAATATGTATTTACTATAGTTTGAAGTGTTATGTGTATAAAAATCCTTTATTATTATTAATATGTCATCAAAAAGTTATCTTGATTGGGCATGAATCTCGAGGCAAAAATCAAGTTGGAAACTTCAAAAATTAAATTCGGGATTATTTGAACTCCAATTTCAGCAAACTTACATTCGAACTGATCTTCTCAGAAATACAAACCCAAAGACTCCAAATTCAACTCAATCCGAGCCCAAATGGGTCCAAATGAAGGACCCGAAGCTTTGTTGGAAGGTTCAAACCACAATTTGGGTTGCCAAATGGTTTCTAAACATGACATGCTTATAATCGAATTGAGCGGCTCGATGAGACGAGTCCAACGAGCCCAAGATCGTCGAATTCTGACATCATTAAGACCTTCAAATGTCTGACGAACGGTACACGATTAAGGGATTCAATATCGGTCATCCATCCGACCACTCTTTATTTACCCCTGATCTCTCACCTATTTAAAAGACATGCCACTCTAGAATATCTATAAATAGACCCCTCATTTTTCATGAGAGGGGACCCAAGCAAGAAGAAGAAGAGAAGAAGGAGAAGAGAAGAGAAGGAAGATAGGAGGGAAGAAACTCATCCTCAATCACCATTGGGATTCTGCCCGATTTCTACGGGATGCTGGAATTCTGTCAAACTTCCGCGAGATGCCGGAATTCTGCCATAATTCCACCCAACTTCCAAGTGATACCAGAATTCCGCTCGACTTCTAAGTGATACTGGAATTTCGTCCGACTTCTAAGTGACGCCGGAATTCCGCCCGACTTCCAAGTGACGTCGGAGTTTCATCCAACTTCCAAGTGACATTGGAATTATGCCTGACTTCCAAGTGACGTCGAAAATTCGCCCGATCTCCAAGTAATGCTGGAGTTCTCCCTGGCCGCTGACTAACATCAAACTTCTACTCAACACCAGACCACTGCTTGTCGCTAGATTTCTACCTGATGCCGAACTTTTGCCAATTGTCGTACTTTTGTCAGACAACTATCCAATGCTGGATTTCTATCCATTGTTGTACTTCTATCTGATGTCGTCCTTCTAACATTCGTTGTTAGACAATGGTCATTCCGACCTCCATCGCATGTAGACTACAGTCCTCCTGACTTACGTCGCTCACCGACTACAGTCCTTCCAACCTCCGTCGCCCATCGACTACGTTTCTCCTGACTTATGTCGCCCACCGACTATAGTCCTTCCGACCTTCGTTAGCAGACAATGGTCTTTATGACCTCCGTCGTCCGCCGACTACGATTCTTCTGACCTCCGTCACCAGACTATGGTCCTTCTGATCAAACGAATACGTCAACAATAATTCTTTATATTCCTAACATGTAATGTACTCCATATGATGTACATCAAGCCAAGGCCTTCCCCCAAGGAAGGGCCTCATTTGTAATAAACTGCAATATTAGTGGATTCATTCAAACTAGGCTAGACCCTGTGATTTTTCCCCTTTTTTTAGGGATTTTTCACGTAAAAATCTTGGTGTCTCATAAATGCTACACTCTCTCTCTTATCTGATTGTGTGCCGGATTTTCGTACAATGCTAAGACACTAAACTTTATTTTTCTCTACCACCGCAAATACTCGAGGACGCAATAATTATTATTATTATTTGATGTAACTGAGATGTTTAAAATATTATATAAATAAATATAAAAATTTAGATATAAGATATAAATATATAAAAATTCAATGGTATTTATGCAAATCTTCTAAATATTAAATTACTCTTAAATGAAATGGAAAGAATCACTGTAAATATAATAAAGTTGGAAGATTTCTAAGTTTTCACAATAAGTTCTTAGGGTTTGTTTGTTTTTAAGTATCAAGAGTATAAAGTAAAAGAAATAAGGTTTCTGATTATTTATTTATTTTTTGGTATTTGGCTTAACTTAAATAAAAATAATAATATTTTTATTGGAGATTTAGAGTATCTTAGATATCTATTTTTGATGGATTTGAAAATCATGCAAATCGAACAATATTCTCACGCATGTATAGTTATTTTTATTTATGCATACATGCATAATTGTGTGTGTGTATATATATATATATATATTATAATTTGTATTAAATTTATAAACTTATATATGAATTAAATTAATGTTAGTTGTGAATTAAATTTAAATATTGAAGGTGTTTAAAATTTAAATTATAAAAAATATTATTTATATATGAATTCAATTGACTTTTTTGTCATAAATTTTTATTACTGTATAATCATTATATCATTATTATGTTATTTAAATTTTATTTAAATAATTTTAATAAAGAAGATTACATACAAGTCAAAGATAATGTACATAAAATATTATAATTAATAATGTTGAAAGGAATGATATACAATAAGAATGGGATTTTTAAAAAATTCTTGATTACTTATACTTGATGCTAGATTAATTTAATTTAATAATTTATATCATATTAATGAATTATTCATATAACATATGAACTTATGCTTTAACTATATTATAAAAATTGAATTTTGTGCCTTATAAACTCATGGTTAAGACATTGATGATCATTTTAGTATATTATAATTTTTTAGTTTTACAATTCTTCTTAATTTAGATTAAATATAGATTTGTTTTATCAAACATATGTTAAGAAAGATAGAGGTAGCCATAAAAAGATTTAGTTAAAAAATATTAGAACTGACATTTCTTTATTAGATCTAAATAAGAGTTTAGCTTTTAACCGGACATAATGGAAAAAAAGATTCATGTAGCCATGTAGCCAACCCCACGTAAGGGGATAAAAGCTTGATTTTGTTGTTATAGTATAGATTTTTTATCACTTTAATTTCATGAATACTAATTCATTAGATTTTGTCCTTTACAATTATTAATTTTATATAAAAAACTATTTAAATTCTAACTAAATTATTTGTAAATTCTAATCATTAATTAAATATTAATCAATCCCAAAACACATTTATCAATTATACAGCTCATTATTTGAATATAAATCATGTTTAACTATAATTACCTATAGCATTCACACATGAAATAACGAAAGAAATACCACTTCTAAAAATTTTTTGGCACTTGTACTAAACTCATTGAATTTTTATATATTTAAAATATATTTAATATTAAAATTTTTTAAATGAGACATCTAACAAATTAACATGATAGAGCCAAAACTAACTCAAGCTTAACATTTTAACTTATTGAGTTAAGCTCGAGAGCCATTTATCAAATAGAGCTCGAGCCAACAAATGAGTTGGCTTGACTCAAACACCCATACCATAAAATCATAAAAAAGTGCCAGATATTCTTATACAATTTGTATCATCATATATTTAAAAATTATTAAATTTATTTTAAGATCAATATCACATATAAAGTATTTATATTACATATATTTCAAAATAAATTCAATAATTTTAAAATTCATGTTTATCCAAATTAAATAAATATATCCTAACATATTTTTTTTTTCATTGTGAAAAGATTTGCAGCCAAATAATTAAAAAAAATGTTTCTTTAAAATTACAAATTCAAATTACAAATTTCCAGAATAATGTGTCAAACTTGTAAATTTCAACAAGACAGAAATGCACCAAAGCAAACTAGAAAAAATCACATCCAAGAATGATCAGAATTTATACTGTCTCATTGCAGAAATCTTTTGCCGTTATTTTTTGCCAAGATTAGGGAGAAGAGAACAAGCCATGGTCACAGCTTGGAGAGAGGAGGCCTGCTCAATGTTGCTTCAATTGTTCCATGAGGCTCATCAGTTGGCAAATACACATCATCAGCAAACTGCAAAGGCAAATGCTTAGAAATCTGCCAACATGAAATTTCCATATTGCAAACCATATAAGCGATAATAATTTAGGGAAAATTTGGAGAAAACATTGAAATTCAATAGTTTTTAGGTAGTCTTTTAAATATAAGACCTAAATCTTGCCTATTTACAAAAATAACATCCTCCTAACTTTGGCTTCATTCAAGAAAGCTTTGATACTGCTTTTTAAAAAGACTTTTTAGTACAAAAATTTCAACCGTTTTAGAAAGAAAGAAGAAAGCCGTCCCAAACGAAGCCTGTCTTCTTAAATTTCTTAGTTTTTATCAAATTCTCAATGGTTTGACTATGGCAGGCGAAATACACGAATACGATAAGCTAGAAAAATAGTATGAGTGTTAGTTTTATAAATATGTAATTTTCTGATGTTTTGCATGCAAATTTTCCTAACAAAAATTAGAAGTGCTCTAATTCTCAAAAAATACAATAATTTATAATATCTTATATTACCAAAAAAATATAATTGCAAAATTTTGAGAAGTAGAACTCAAGGAATTCTCATAACTAACATGAATGATGTGCTGAAATTCATTGTAAGTCTTACAAAAAGAAAGTTAATATCCGCTGTAAAATATAAACTTAGTATTCATTTGTGATATCAAATTTGTTACTTTCTAACACAATTTTTTTATTTAAAAATTATATAAAAAAAAAAAATTGGTACTAAAAAACTACTTTAAAAAACAGTAAGAAAATTATCTCAAAGAAAACATTAATTTTCGTTTGGGACGGCTTTCTTACTGCTTCTTAAAGCCAATTTCTAGTACTAATTTTTGTACTAAAAAACTACTTTATGAAACAGTAAGAAAGTTGTCGTTTGAAATGTGCATTAAAAAAGCAGTATCTCACCTTGACCAAGTTTGGATTGTCTTTGCTAGATAAGTTGACTGGCAAGAAATGGATGTTTGGCATTCTCAGTTGAATAGATGCTATATCTGGAAACCTGTCAATTGGCAGGAAATAAGTATTTGAGATTGCAGACTCGGAACAGGAAATATTATAAGTCAAAACATTTGCGGTCAGAAAATTCTGATTAAAATTTTATCAAGACGGTATAACACATAAAAAATTATATCACATGCATCTTAAAGCCAATCCAACGGCTCTAAGATTCATCCTGATTAAAAATTTAATCAAAATTTCTTGTGCCATTTTTTTCCTTGAAAGTCGTTGCGCCAAACATTGTAACGAAGAAAAAAAGAAACCTGTTAAGAACAGCTACTGCCATGAGATACAGAGTATTTTGGACCGATGGGCTATATACACCCGAAGTTGGAGGGCCAAAGAAAGTATCTACAATGACTTTTTTGACATCTCGGTATCTTTCGATGAAGAATTTTGATTCTGTAGGAATTGCAGATATGGATTCGAACTGAAACCTACAAAATTGTCAGGGAAACTTTAATTATAAGCAAGATCTTCATTCTTACTCAGCAATGCATAAAAAACATTATTTGATACTAAAAGAGGTGATGCAATAACCATTCAGGATCTTACATCAAGCTGCACTTATATGCAATCTTCCAGAGAACTTCCTTCATGACCTCATTTATAGTATCATTTAGTAAACTTAATTTATGTGAGCGTGTCTAATAGGAGTCAAATTTGATTTTATTATTATAGTATTGTCCTTAGTTTGATAATGCGTTCTGGTTATTATAAACATTTCATCTGTGTAGTTAGCTCTAGAAATAATCTCATCAAAGTTTAAAAAAAAAATTGGATGAGTTGAGGATCCCAATAGAATCTTGGAATGATGTAACTTTTGTCATTGTATCATGTCCTTTATTTCCCTTCTTTGGCTGCTTCGTTTTCTGAGTGATGTAACTTACCCCTTTCTTCTTATTAAAATTTGATAATGAAGTTATCATATGACTTCTCACTGTTTTTCCTTCTCACTAAATCAGATTTGGGATTGATGGCTTATGACTTATCGTGATGTTATACAATAGTGGATAAAGAAACTCCCTCAATGGTCCCCATCATTGTTGTCTCCTACACGTAAGCGAGATCAGAGGAAAAAAAAAAAAAAAAAACCATTTGGAGAGAATGTATGATGTGATATGATAAATGAAGGAATACTGGCAGTAACTGAGAAACTCCCACAGTGGTTTCCATCATTGTTGTCTATTTACAATTGAGGGAGATCTGAGGAAAAATGGGTATGGAAACAAGATCATCAGAAGGAGATTCTTTTGAAAAAGAAATACTGGCAGCACCCTTTGTTGTTATTGGCACACATGAGATTTCTAGGACTTCTTTTATTGTTGAAGTTTCTACGGGTCATTCTGACCATAAGGGTCAACAATGCAACAAACATAACGGCAGGCACCATTTGAAAGTTCTTTAGTTTTTTGGCTCTAATAGCTTCATTGATATAAAGGGACTAACAACACCATTGCTAGAGAAGATGACTCTGAAATAGGAGCAAGCGTCGTGATTTTGGAGTCTAGCATAAACTCAAAATCATCACACCTTAAACCCTAATAAAAGCTTGATATATGCATATCCCGTATTTGCAACAAGCATGGGAAAAGTTTTGAATTAGCTTAGGTCTTCCATAAGAATTATACTTTCACAAACGACCAAATAATCACAAAAATGATAGCATAGATACTCATGAAATAGCATGCAAAATGACTTTCTAGCTTATCTTATCCTACAAAAGAATGACTCGATTATGAAATTATTGGTTGAACATGTTTGGGAAGTAAAACCACGCAACGAAAGATACAAGAATAAAAAATTACAGCAGAAAGAAATAATATTAGGATTTAACGTGTAAAAATCCAAAACCGAGAAAAAATCACGGAGCCATTACACCAAGAAATTTACTATAGAAATTTGGGAGAAATAGCACATATTTCTTCTCTCTCTCTCTCTCTCTCTCTCACCTTGTCTCTCTCTTCACCCTTACACCGTTCTCATACATGAACTAACAAAGAGAAAACACACTTAAACCACCTAGAGAAGCAACCCTTCATGAAAAATGAGAAAAAAATGCCCAGCTCGCCTCACAACACCGCGACGCCAGGTTTGGAGCACAACGGCGCTCAACTCTCTATCGCCAGTCTGCTTGACAGTGCCGGGTTTGGAGCACGCGACACTTCGCTCTCTGTCTGTCACCAAGAAACTATACAACATCACAACGCTTGGGTACACAGCACTGTACAGTTGTACAAAAAAAAATCGAAAGCAAAGCATCCAAACCCAAGCAGGTGGAGGATCCCCTGCAACAATACAGTGAGCTCAACGATTGTATTGAGATCTGAGGCAATAGTACAACTTGATTGATAGGACATAATCAAATTTTACACAAAACTAATAATCTCTCAGTTGGAAATTGATTGCGATCAATCCTTCCCCTGATCTGTAGCACAAATTATAGTATCTGTAGTGTGGCTCACCCCTACTCTCATCCTTCATGAACACTAATTGAATCTACACATAGCTTCAATTTATCAATTTTCACCGTCTTCGTCAACATGTTTGCAAGATTCTAAGTCGTTTGAATCTTCTCCAAAGATAAACGACCATCTTTTAGGAGCGATATGATGAAATGATACCGAAGATGGATGTGTTTTGTGCAAGCGTGGAATACAACATTCTTGTCTAGATGAATAGCACTCTTTGCCAAGTTCTGTCAAGAAATTTGCAACCATATCATCTCCTTGCAAACATCAATGATAGTAATATACTCAACTTCTGTGGTTGAGAGCACAATAATCTTCTATAACTTGGAAACTATACTAAATGTAGTCTTTCCCAAAGTGAATATATAACCAGTTATGCTTCTTCTACCATCAAGATCTCCAACAAAATCATAATCTAAATACCCCTGTAGATAAATTCCAACATCTCCAAAAAAAGATCTTTATTAACTGATCCTCTCAAGTACTTGAGAATTCACTTAACCGCCTCTCAATGAAGTTTGTCTGGATTACTCATAAATCTACCGACTATCTAGTCTCATATAAATCATAGCGTACATCAAACTTCCAACTGTTGAAGCATATAGAGTCCTCCCCATCTGTTCTTGCTCTTTTTCAAATAAGGGCGATTTTCCTTAGATAGCTAAATATGACTATCCAAGGGAGTGTAAACAGATTTTGTCTTACTCATGTTGAATCTCTACAACACGTTTTCAATATACTCAGCTTAAAAACAACTTGAATATACATACACTTCTATCCCTAGTGATTCTAATACCAAGAATTTTCTTTGTTGGACTAAAATTTTTCAATTCAAACTCCTATGATAACTGCTCCTTGAAACATATTATCTTCTTCATATATGATCCTACAATCAGCATGTTATCTACATTCAAAAGTAGAATGATATAATAATTATCAAAATATATGAAAAAACAACATTGATCAGTCAACACTTTGTGTATCTCTTGTTTGACATAAACCTATCAAAACTCCTGTAGCACTATTTTGATGTCTGCTTCAACCCATATAAGCTCTTTATGAGACTACACACGAAATCCTTTTTACGTGCGATCACATATCCCCGAGATTACACATTGTACAACTCTTCATGAAGAAATGTGTTATGAATTGGAAGCAATCTCAGCAAAAACCAGTGAATGACACAATAATTTGAGGAAGAGAAACTCACCAAAACTCAAACTAAAGAAAGATATTCACAAGATAAAATTGGATCTTCAATTGGAGTGGAAGATCCGGCTCTCCAAAGTCTCTAGATGCCGCTAGAACCCACACAAGAAACCAGAAAACAACAAGCTATAGAAAAAACAAGATGAAAACCTAACCCTAGCCCCCCAAAGCATACTTAAGCATATAATCATTAGGTAAATCCCAAAACAACCCCTTCTATTTGAATTTTTCCTACTAAGATTCCCTTAATTTCCTCTTAATTAAGCTAGTGGACCCCACTATTTGAATGTTTCCTACTAAGATCCCCTTAATTTCCTCTTAATTAAGCTAGTGGACCCCACATAGAAGGCGTGGAAGGCATGGGGAGCAGAACCTGCTTGTTCCGCCTCTAGTAATATTGAACCGGTCTATCAATACTCTCCTCTCAAAGAGCCACCTTGTCCTCAAGGTGGAAGGAGAGAAAATGACACTTCACCAACTCGTATGGTTCCCAAGTGGCATTATAGCTAGGTAGGTTCTTTCATTTGATCAACACTTCCTTCGACTCACCCTCTCCCTGACGAACTCCATTAAGCTCAAGTGGTTCTAAAATCACCTCTTGATAACTCTAAACTAGCTATATGCAGACCTTTGTGATCAAGCAGGAGATTAGTTAGTGCATTACCATCTACCTGCATAAATCATGAAAGTAGTGCACGACAGTCTACCTGTATAAAGCAGCAAACAACTCAATCCAGAAGCTGCTACAAAATGCCATCGGATTCGTAACTTCTATACAAGCGGACAAAAGGTGTCTACAAATGATTTCAAAGTACCCCCGCACGTGCACCGTAGTTTGTATACACATAGGTACACTAAAAGGGGTAAAAGCAATTACAAAACCCGCATGGGTCCCGGCGAGCGTGTTATTGGTACACACATGATGTCTAGGGATGATGCGCGAGTTGATAAGTGAATTTAAGTTTGAACCCGATTCCTCATATACGAATCAATAGGAGTCGACAAGGTTCAAACCATTAAACAAATATACGGTTGCGGCGACCGGTATATTTGTCTTATTACATTCATATTAGGCCTTCAAGGCCTATAACAATATGAATTCGCTAATAAAGGCATAAAGCCTACGAAACCCGATCCTCTGTCGACAGCCAGACAGAGTCGACAAGGTTCAAGCTACAAATGAAAGTGCCCCCAAACACCCCGATGATGGTCGTGTTGAATGCTTATCTCAACCGGAGGGGTTCATTCCAAACATTTCAATAATTCCACCCAAATACCCACAAATCCAATACTCCTAAAAAATCAAAAACTCCAAAATCATCCCAAATTTCAAAATATTTAAAATTGAAGTAAATCCATCAAACACTTAAAGCAAACTCTATCCACCCTCCGCAACAGTTTGCTGAGGTGGACAAATTGAAATGTACTTCAGCTCACAAAGAGCTAATGCCTAGTCGAAAATATCACTAGGATCCATTCTCAAACAATCTTCTGCCAATAAGGATGTGGTACGTGTCCTCTACCCGGCGGTTTTGCCGCCAAATGGCACAGCAGGATAAATGGTTATGACTCGGGCCCTCTGAACCGAGTGGTTTTGCCATCAAATGGCACCACGAAATACTGATTATGGCCAGAGCCAATACATTCATTATTGGTATCAAATCCTTGAGATATGAATCAATAGGATATGATCGATAGGGCACAAAGCTCTCTGTTAGCTAATGTAGATTCAAATTTGTCCCCTTAGACAAATATTCACCCCATGTCTACAAGATCCCCTTGGACGAAGCAACCCATGGCTGCTGACAAGGATCCTTCTGTCAGGTTGGGTCGACAACCTCCTCTGACTAAGTAGACCAGGGACCAATTATGGTCCGGGATGACGGAACCATGGATCTTGATCGGGTCTATCATCCATTCCCCCACCATCCACTTCAAGTGCAAGATAGTGCAATTTCCAATTTTAAATATCAAATCTTCAAACTCTCCAATTTTCCAACCATTCCAAATATCCATTGCTGCTACTATATGTCAGATAACACGTATTCTCTACGTATCTGATTGACGACTAGCCTTAATTGAAAGTTCTCTCTCGTGATCGAGAGGGGTAATTAACTATAGGGGCTTGGGCCTATAGGAAACCAGATCATAAAGACCTCGCAAAATGTGGGCAAAATCTCTGGATAGTGTCTTATCTACAAATCCATCTGCCTTCTAAAATTTACCCCGGAACTTAGTTCGTTAAAACTTCCTCGCCAAAAGAAAAGCAAACAATGTGCGGGCGGAGGCCAGGGCCAAATTTTCGGAGCCCACAGATAAACACTTGGCCCATACCCTAGGTGTTTCTGAAGCAAAACACCGTAAGTATATCCCCAAGCTTTTGTTCACAACTTCAGTCTTTCCATCCGTCTGGGGTGATAAGTGGTGCTCCTCTTTAGCAATATCCCTTATAGCCTAAATAATTCCCTATATAAATGACTAATGAACACCTTCTCTATCAGATACTATAGACTCCAGTATCCCATATACCTCTCATCATATCTGAAGCATAATTCCTTAGTCCGTTTTTCTGCAACTCCTTAGTGAGCTTTTTGAAATTTTCCTCGAATCTCCCTCATATAGGATTCTCCTTTAGGGCTTCACGAAGGTTTCCCAGTGATGGACTTTTGGGAGCAACGAATGTGGTGGTCATCCTATACGAGCTTTCCTGAACTACTGCCTCGGGTCCCCCTTTCCAGGTGCTTATGGTCCTCCATTAGCTATGCTTGCTCCATACTCTCTCCCAAGTTCTGAGGCCTTATTACTTTAATCGTCACCCGAATCTCTGGTTTGAGTCCCTTCATGAAGTTCCTCTCTAACACTGTCTGAGAAAGGTGGTCCAAACGACTAGTGAAGTACTTGAACCTATCCAAGTACTCAACCACTAAGCCTTTTGTGTCAGGACGAAAAATTGATTGTAAAAGTCTCATCCCCTGCTGGTTTGGAAACGTTCAAACAAGCAATCCTTGAATTCCTTCCAGCTCCTTATGGGTCAACGCATGTCCCTCCATTCGTACCAAGCCAATACCTTCCTTTCCAAACATAGGCCCGCTGCCGTTAGCCTCTCATCCTTCGTCAAACCTTTGGCGGCAAAATGCCTCTCCACCTTATAGATCCATCCGTGTGCATCATCTCCCTCAAAGATGGGCATCTTTAGCTTCCTCACTCTCAGATTGCCTCCGTTTCCCCTGAATCCTCGATAGGCTCCTATTCCACTAAGTGGAGGTATCTCCCAAGCTTCCCAATCCTCCCTTCTGCACTCGTACCAAAATCCTTCTTCAAAATCCCCTCTTTTCAAAATCAGCACCCCTTCACTCGTACCCACTACTCATCTTTTCCTTAGAGATAGGTTCTAGAAGAGGCATCTCATCTTCTCCCTCCAAAACCTCCACCTCTTGATTTCCCCTCCCTTAATAGGACTAGGGTTTCCTCCACTTTCTCATACACCAGTGGCTCCCCTTGTCTCTGATGTCATCATTTTGGGTGTGGCTTCAAGTAACATCTTCAACATTTCTTCGACGACAACAAACATTCCATCCATCTTTTCATGAACGGAAGCAAATTTGTTTTCAAAATCAAGAATCTTCTCCACCAAATCTAATTTCAATTAGCCAATTCCCCCTTCCAATACTTGCACCTTTATTCTCGCCATAGTAACCCGAATCTATGCTATGATACCAATTTGTTAGGAATTTGATGAAATCTCAACAAAAACTAGTGAACGACATAATAATTTGTGGAAGAGAAACACACCAAAACTCAAATTGAAGACAAAAATTAGCAAGATACAGTTGGATCTTGGAAGGGAAGATCCGGCTCTCCCAAGTTTCTAGACGCCACTAGAGGCCACACAAGAAACCAGAAAAAAACAAACTGTAGAAAAAAATGAAAACCTAACCCTAGCCCCCCAAAACATACGTATAGAACATTAAATAAATCCCAAAATAGCCCCTTCTATTTCAATTTTCCCTCATAAAACCTCTTTAATTTCCTATTAATTAAGCTAGTGGACCCCACATAGAAGGGGTGGCAGGCATGGGGTAACATTGAACCTATTCCGCCTATTCCGCCTCAGGTAACATTGAACCTGTCCTATTTGGACCAGTTTATTAAAATGCTATCTTTAAATCCATCTGCTCTAAATATAAATATTCCACTGCTACTATGCTCAACATAAGTTTGACTGTAATCATCTTCACCACTTCAGAGAAAATTCAATGTAGTCCACTTTTATTTACTGAAAACCTTTAACTCAAGTCTAGCCTTATAACGCTTGCTACTATCAGGTTCTTCTTTCAGCCTGTAAACCCTTATTTTGTAGTGCTTTTTTGCTATCTGGTAGCTATGTCAACTCCCAAATAAGATTCAACACAAGTGAATATGATGGGGACATCAGAGCATGAAAAGTGCATCATAGGCATGGCCGTCGATCTATGGCCACGATCAAGTCGATGTAGTTTTGAGTTATTTTCATGTATTTGTCTTTTATTATATTAGTTATCTTTTATTATTTAAGTTGTAATTGTTTTCCCATTTTTACCCCTTAAGGGAGGTCGTATGTAAACTCTGAGGGCATTGTCGTCTTTCTTATTTTGAGTCTTATGTATTAGGCTATTTATAGCCCCTATGTTTCTCTTTGAAGGTTTTAATGAATGATTGAATAAAAAATTTTCCTGCGTTTTGATTTCATGCAAGAGCGAGAGAGAGGTTTAGAGAGAGATCCCTTGGAGAGGGAAGCGCATCACCCACCAACCTTGGAGATAGCTGGGTTTGTGATTCTTCGTCGTTATCTTATTACCCTCTTTCCCTCATCCCCTAGCTGCCAGCCAAAAATCTCCCCTGACCCCTCACCTAAGCCGCCGGCCATTATACCCCCAATATCATCCGCCGCTGAGACCCTAATCCCATTCATCACCCACGACCACTCCCTCACCGCCGGCCACCCTTGGCTCCTCCCCACCCACACCGGCCCACAACCTTCCAACAATAGGTTTCATAATTTTGGTAACTTCCTTCATGCTCAAATTCAAATTAATTTGAACTTGAAAAGTTGCCTAATTTACAAATTCCTATTTTAGGTTACTTCCTAAATTGATTCCTATTTAAATTTTAAATTAAGAGAGGATTAAATACTTCTTTTCAAACTTAATTTATTATTTTAAGTAGGCATTAAATGCCTCATTAATTCCTCCATCCCACTATAGCCGCCGGCCTCCTTTGGTGATTTAAATTAGGAATTGTTTCCTAAACATCCACCTCCTTTATTGGAAACAATTTAAATCCCTTCTCTCCCTCTCTTGGCCGAAAATCCCAAGGGCCCACCCACTTAATCCCTTCCCAAATTTAAGCTTTCCCCCTTGGAATTAAATCCCCAAAATTCTGTCCTACTCTACCCACCCCCTCTGTCTTACTCCATATTCTATTTAAATTATTTCCAAACCTAAAGACTTGATTTGGAAGTTAATTTCAGCTTTCACTCCATAATCCTCTTCTCAAAATCTGAAATCAATCTTCCCCTTGGCCGGTCACTCTCTCTTGCCACTCACTACTTGGATTCTTGAATGAAACCTCTCTCTTTCAAGGGGAAACGGCAAGGACAACAAAGGATCATTACCTTCAACACTTGGAAGAGACTTCTTCTCCTCCAGTTGAACCTTCAAGAGGAGCTTCGACAAACTTTGTCAACACCTCGCCTACTTGTTTCCAGGTTTTGATAAGGGTGAACTTCTTCCCCCTTTTTACTTACCTTTCTAATCCCCTAATCTTGTAGGTGATGACGATTCACAAGGAGCCGAGCTTCACCTTTCCCTAAGCTAGTAAACGTAGGGTTTTGTTCCGCCATTGCCCAAAACCTAGTAAACGTAGGGTTGAGTGCACCTTATTTGCCTCTAATCTTATTGCTAGATTAGGAATTTTGTTGAAAACTATTTACTTAGCATGATTGTTGAATTTCTAACTTGTTTTGGTTTTCCAAGTGCTTGGCAACCGGCTTAGCCTAAACGTAGGCACCCCTCTCTTGTTTTATGTTATCATTTGGATTGCTAATAGCTTAAATCTTACTTGCTTAATTCGAGAAATCATGCAATTTCATTATGAGATACATTTAAAATATTTTAGTCCTGTATCATCTGGTATCAGAGCATGGTTAGCTTAGGATTTTCATACTAGAATTCATCCTAGGCTATTGCTTAATCTTGCATAATTAATTTGGCATTCATACTATTTCTTAAATTATTTTAAATCTTAGTTGTGTTTGCTATCCAGAAATTTTCTACACTCATTTAGTGAGTTTTAAGGTTGTCTCTTAAATATCTAGGTGCTGCCTTCAATATAACTTCCCTAATTACCTAGAATACTTAACGCCTTGTTGTAGTTTGATGTCCAAATATTTTATGCATTGTTTAGTGTCATTCTAGAGAGTCTATCATAGCATTTAGGTGCTGTCCTCTACCTAGATTCCTCCCCTAGTGTCCCCTAGTGTCTAGCCATGGACCTGGAACAACTTGAAAGGACTTTAGACTTGTTGGTAGGTCAAATGAACAACATTAGCCAACAACTCAAAGAGAATCAAGCCGACCTTGCTGAACTTCGCAGGGACACCACCGAACGCTTTGACACACTTGAACGATCTAGGGAACATCCACCCCCTTACACCCCATCTAGACCTCCGTCTATGTATGGGGATGAACCTTATCAAGATGAGAGGCAATATCATGCCAATCATCGAGCTCCACAGTTTGGACACAACCCACACCACGACCCTGGCATGCCACTTATGAAAAATATTAAAGTAGATGCTCCTACCTTTGACGGCACACTCGATCCCCAGCTCTTCCTGAACTGGGTCAAAGTTATGGAGAGTTTCTTTAAGTGGTATAATATTTTTGAGGCTAGGAAGGTTAGTTTTGTCAAGATGAAACTAATGAGTAGGGCGAGTTAGTTTTGGGCCAACTTAGAGAGCCTTAAGGAAGCCAGGAATGATTACCCCATAACTAATTGGTCATCTATGAAGCGTGAACTTAAGCAAAAGTACTTGCCTCCCTCTTACTTTCCTAGATTGTTGGAAAGATGGAATAGGTTGACTCAGGGCAACAAACCGGTCAAGGATTACATCGCATCTTTTAACGACTATTTGATTCGTTGCAAGGGGGAGACCTCCACAACCCCCGCACAGATCCTATCCATATTTCGTACTGGGTTGCGAGAGGATCTTCGCAACGAGTTGTTCGCTCGGAACATCACTACCCTTGAAAATGCCTACAGTTTAGTGTTAGACCTAGAGGAAACCCGTTCCCAACACCCTAGTCGACACCACAACTCTAGACCTTCCTACAGACCTTCTGGTAGTTCCACCCTCATAGTTTAGTGTTAGACCAGGGAGCACTACTCGACCCTCGCCTGGTCCCCCCACTCCCCGTCCTGATATTAGAAGTAAGTCTCCCACTCCGGATACCCCTCGATCTAACCCCGGGACCAAGTGCTTTAGATGTCAGGGGTATGGACATATCGCCTCTCAGTGTTCTAGTCCCTATAAAGTCACGATTATTGAAAAGATCACTGAGGCAGATTTTGAGCCTAAAGTCGATCAGATTCACCAAGTGGACAACGATGGTGAATTCTTTGAGGATGACGACACTGTTGTCATCCATTATATTCAGAAAATTGACATTTCTCCCACCTGCATGGTGAGATGTGCACTGTCACAACCCGTTACCACCGACGACTGCGTAGGACTGCGATCTTTCATACCTACACCAAAATCAAGGATAAGAACTGTAAGGTCGTCGTGGATAGTGGCAGCTGCATCAATGATGTCTCCTCTAGCATGGTGTCTAAGTTTGGCCTGTCTGCCGTTCCCCACCCCAACCCCTATAAGGTAGCTTGGGTCAACACCACTGCCTTAGAGGTAAAGGAACGAAGCTTTATACCCATATCCTTCGATGGCTATAAGAAGAATGTTTGGTGTGATGTTTTGATTATGAATGTTAGACAAATCCTTCTAGGCCATCCCTGGCTATTTGACAATGATGTTCACATTTATGGTCGTTCAAACACCTGCGTGTTTGAACATAAGGGCCAAAAGATCAATCTTGTGCCATCACAGCCCCGGGTTACGGATGATCCGGAATCCAACCCTATCAAAGTCAAGAA